ACAAATTATTTTGTACAATGACGTCAAAATTCAAAAAACGCGAACCAAATTCATATAGACGCTCATACAAAGGCTCCTGTTGCGTTTACTGCGACCTCTCAATAAGAAACATGAAATTATTGCAATAGTATGATAGAAATTCTTTAGAGGATTTAAATTATTATTTTAATGTACGCACAATACGTACATACCTCATTTAATTAAAATATTATTAATAAATATGCTTTTAATAAATTAATATTAGTAAACTATTAGAATAGTGAAAACGAATAATTTTATAACTTAAATAGATTTGTGATTGAGATAAAGACAATGTAACTGGATTCGCATTTCGCCAGTAACAATAATCAAGAGTTGCCTAAATACCTACATGTCATTTTCATTATAAATTTAAATTTTAGCGCTCAACAGACAGTACATTATACACAATGGTAATATTTGATCAGCCGGCTACATATTATCCTATATTTTCATAGTAGAATAAACAAACCGTCGTGCCACCGATACTATTTATTTTTAAGGTGCATGAATATGAAATGCCAACCATATACCAATTATACAATGCGTTCCCGTTCGAAAATAATCTGAATGTACGTGCCAAAGGCTGTAAATAAATGTTGATATGGAAATTTAATACGAATGAAATATGAGTGTGTCTTATCGTATGTGAAAAACAAACAACGCACCTTTCTTTCTAAGGGTACGATAATACGAACGTTATCGTTGATTAGTCAAAGTTATCAATGTGGAACTCTTGTGAAGTGAATTTCCATTTAATTTCAATGTCTCACCACAATTCACGATACCGATAGCAATTCATTGTCATTCTGATTTTAAAAAAATCGATTTAGTTTTTTTTGCTTTATTGCTTAGATGGGTGGACGAGCTCACAGCCCACCTGGTGTTAAGTGGTTACTGGAGCCCATAGACATCCACAACGTAAATGCGCCACCCACCTTGAGATACAAGTTCTAAGGTCTCATGTATAGTTACAACGGCTGCCCCACCCTTCGAACCGAAACGCATTACTGCTTCACGGCGGAAATAGGCGGGGTGGTGGTACCTACCCGTGCGGACTCCCAAGAGGTCCTACCAGCAGTGAGAAAAGTTCGTCAAAGTTATCAATGTGGAACTCTTGTGAAGTGAATTTCCATTTAATTTCAATGTCTCATCACAATTCACGATACCGATAGAAATTCATTGTCATTCTGATTAAAAAATTTCGATTGAGTTTTTTTTTTGCTTTATTGCTTAGATGGGTGGACGAGCTCACAGCCCACCTGGTGTTAAGTGGTTACTGGAGCCCATAGATATCCACAACGTAAATGCGCCACCCACCTTGAGATACAAGTTCTAAGGTCTCATGTATAGTTACAACGGCTACCCCACCCTTCGAACCGAAACGCATTATTGCTTCACGGCAGAAATAGGCAGGGTGGTGGTACCCACCCGCGCGGACTCACAAGAGGTCCTACCACCAGTAATTACGCAAATTATAATTTTTCGGGTTTCCTTTTAATTACAAGATGTTATTCCTTCACCGTGGAAGTCAATCGTGAACATTTGCAGAGTACGTATTTCATTAGAAAAATTGAAACTTATGATTAAAGTAGCTTTATCGTTGCTTTAAGTTGCTAATTTTAAGATTTACTCATGGCAACCCTCTCTTCCGTTCCAGCCTTTTAGCCTCCTGCATGGCAAATTGTAATTAAATTATAATAAAATTAGAATAAGCGCGAATGTTCATTTTACAAGCCTAGATTTTATATATACATGGCTAGATTGTGGATTAGCAATATAGCTGCAAATGCTACAGTTCCGGCGACGCGGCGGCTTGGGGGGCCCTATCGCGGCACCGAAAAAAACAAGCCCAATCTAATAGCTATTCTCATAGTCAACGCTAACCATACTCTAATGTCACTACTATTAACACTATTATTTAGCATACCTACGCAAAAACATTGATCACGAGAAGACTAGTCACCACTAATGCTCAGAATGCAAATAAAAGGTCTACTATTCACATCTACTGCAATTTACGCGCTGGCTTTGTCTAGAAATGCTTCTATAATTTCTAACGCGTATCGAACATGATTTGAAGTGAGATAGATGAATAGACATTATTACAATCCAATGGAGATTGCGACCTATTTTTTTCAAGCGCCATTTTCGTTGTCAATGGACTCTGGTATTCACTTGTGTCACCGATTGTGCAGTTGAGCTAGTGATCTCGTTCTACCAATCTAAAAACGGATTATCTAAGTTAAATAACTCATGCACGACATCATATACCAACCGCGATAAAAACTGGAGTTCAATGAGCGTTCAAGGTTTGCGAATGTGACAAAAAGTTTCGTTTGTAATTCGTGCAGAATTACTGCAGCCACCAATCTAGAGGCCCGTCACTGTATGGTGACTCAGAATCTCGGGGTGAAACTATTAGCTGTTTTCCGATGTTCATACTAATTCCCTACTTCATTATGTATAACAAAAACTATTCGAAGGCAATGAATGAGCTTCGAAAAAACCACCTTTATTCTGGCTCCTTTTGCGTACCGTTTAAGAAATCGTTCGTATCGGTATGGAGGTGAGTCAGTGTCGCCAACTGTTTGAAAACTTTCCCCCGAAAGCAATTTCAAAAACCACTAAATTCAAAATAAATCTCCTCAACGACGGACCAAGTATTTATTCATTACAATATAAGTAAAGAAATAAATAAAAATAATAAATAATTAGTTAATAACAATAGTTATTTAGTATTTTTCTATATAAAATTTTATCCCTAAAAATATCCCCAAAATATTTTTCTATTTCACCTCCTAAAAAATCCCTGTATAGATTTTTTCCCCCTAAATTTGGGGGGAAAACCCCGGAGTTGGCATCACTGAGGTGAGTGATTCTAAATTAACAGCATTATGTACTATTTGGTATTCGAAAAACTTCAGGTGGCTTAATGTGGAACATTTAAAATGATATAATGAAACGTAGCGTCCATGGTATTAGAGAACGAGACTAATAAGATACATGATAACGAAGTTCCAATAGCGTTGGTATATTGCCTATATCATTATATTATATTGGCCATCGAGCTCATATCATACTGGCCACCAACCAGGTCGTGTGTGGGACGATGATTCATGCGCTTAATGTAGATATAAGGAGAATGTCATTCTTCCTTCTTTGCACGCAGATATTGCGCTTTAGATTAGATAACAATTGACGCTTCTATCCAAGAATTCGTTGCATCACTGCATTTTTTTTATCAGGTACGTTAATAATCTACATTTATAGGTGTTTGTATTGACCGACAAAATAGATTTACATAACAGCGGCTACAATAGTTCGAAATTGGAAATCGTTAGTATTTTATCAGACACATTAAAAAAATTATGGCGGAGAAAGGGACATGATTAGACATTTTTATTTAGTTCGGCAGTTTTAAAAACATACCTAATCAACATAGCTTCGTAGACATTGTAATACCGGCGTAACAATATTTTCCTGATATTTTTCGGCTGGTCACCCCAACCACAGTAGCGCCAATGATGCCAGAATTCACAATGGCGGCAACACGAAAAGGCTCTCAACTTCGATGTTCTCGCTAGTTCGCTACCCAAGGGACAGCTACACTACAGACGTCATTGAGGCGCTTATTAGCGAGTGGAATACCATTTTTATGTACGCGAAAATTTTAACAAAACATTTTTGCATGCATTAAGTAGTTAGTAAGTCCTGAAACTGTAACCTTCTAAAATCGTCACCGAAACCCATTTTTTAGTTATGCTACAACACATTTAACACAAAAAAATACGACGCGTGACAAAATTTGTTTTACGGTGTAGCTAGTTAATAGTATTTTTTTTATTATTGCTTAGATGGGCGGACGAGCTTACGGCCCACCTGGTGTTAAATGGTCACCGGAGCCCATAGACATCTACAACGTAAATGCCGCCACCCACCTTGTATATATTTATAGTACAGTAGGCAGCGGCTTGGCTCTGCCTCTGGCGTTGCTGACGTCCATGAGCGACGGTAACCACTTACCATCAGGTGGGCCGTACAATCTTCTGCTTGCAAAGGCAATAAAAAAAATGTTGTAGACATATACAGAAAGTATTAAGATGTATAGAAAGTTTTTTTTTTTTTTAATAGGTATTTAATATTACAATACGTATTGACGTAACAGCCTCAAGCAAATTTTAATTTCCGGTCATTCTCTTGTACTGTAGGAAACGCTATACTTGTTATTCAAAATAAACCATAATGCATATAATAATACAGTTACCGCTCTTCGGAATGGGAAGGTACATCGATATTTTTCACGGCGCAGCTTAAATCTAGAAACGTTTACTTTTGATCGAAGAAAATAGAATATAGCTACGTTAAATTTAAGTTATAAAATTCACTTTTTAATACCATTGTGTTAATGATTTAGGTATAAATATTTAATAATGAAAATAGCCAAAGGCATTAATAATAACATTTATTATTCGATCATCATCGTTTCCCGGCGAGTGGCATTGTGATTTTTATCGCTGTCTGTTAAATTGTATTTGTCATAATTATTTGGTCTGAAAATGTTCTGGAAGTCCAATTATTTAGGTCGGTACCTAATTACGGATACCCACGATTCACACAAAGTGTATCAAAAAACGAATATCAAAAAACCAACGGTAGAAAAGTTAAGGCGCTCATTCCAAACACCTCTAATAATATGTACTTAGAAACTTTCAATTCTCGTGTTAGATAGATTTAAAAGTAGATAAAAATAACGTACAAGTTCAAATAATACACTAGTACATCATATTTTTTTAAAAGGTGGCTTTAAAAACTTATTTCCGGACAAAATAAAAAATTTGAAAATTGCAGGTACCTACTCGATTTGAATATCCACGCAATAAAAAGTCGAAGCGCGCGGTGAATGAACGAAATGCCGGCCGGCATTCTACAACGATATTCATTCTAGAAAATCAATGTTAGTACAGTCAAAAATCACTTACCGATGGTCTTCATGAACTCATCAAAGTTCTCGGAGGAAGTCATCTTGTATTTCTTGCCTACGAATTCCATTTTTATAGATTAACTTTATAGATTTAAGAGAAAGGTTTTTAATACGTCTGTTTTTAGCGCCGGCTAAAACTAGAATGAATTCTCTACTGTGGAGTTGTCGACCCGTTAGCTCGCAGAGCCCTCGCGTTCTCTCGACGCATGCGTCATATTGTAATACCAGTTTACAAAATGAAAAAGAAAGCACTTTTTGTTGTTTTATTTATTTACGACCCGGCGACCACTATCCGCAGCTTAAAACGAGCAAATACGTATCATATATGCATCCTTTGACTAATTTGACTTATGCAACAGCTTTCTATTTTCATATATCTTTTTAATTAATACCGTGATACTGTCACGAAATTTGGTATATAATCGCAACCATAAACAAATATGTTTATGGTTTTCTTGTGCAACTTGGCATTTGAATACTTTTGTTTTTGTTTTGAACTGTCTTAAATATAATATTCAAAGTTTATTTCCGTAAATCTTGAAAATTTAAAAGCTGGCAACGATTCGTCATCTGAAGTAGTGATTGAATAGAACGAATGTAATGAGTGCATTCTGATGTATGAGAGGCGAGTCTGCCGCTTTATTAAGGCATCCGTTTTATTGTAATTTATATTAAGTGTATAATCTATGATTGTAATTTAATTTAAGATACGGGTACCATTTTGACTGAGATTGACGCATATATTTTTTTAATTACCTTCTATAAACACCAGTTAAAACACGACCATCAAAACATTCTCAATCACCGTCATCAATTACCATACAGTTACAATCTAAAAAAAAGCAGTTTTGGTGATCCTTCAATCAATTAAGCAAGATATCCACTGATCTCAGACTTACAATAGTGACGTTATCCAATGAAAGTTTTCCATTGTCGCGATTTTACTACGAACGAATGATTATATATTTCACTTCGAGACATTAAAATGTTGTACGCTACCTGATTCGATTTTTTTTAAATATCTTTAGCAATGGTTTCAATATAGATTATAGCATAAAAGATAGCGTTCCAAAATATCTTTTCAAACCCGTCAATAAAGTATAATATAAATGACGAAGAGGCCGCAGTCCAATTAGATACCAAGCTATACAGGCTGCTCTTCATGATGCCAATGACATACGCAGATGGAAGGGCATCAGTAAAGAGAAATTAATCTCTTTTCGGGGGAATCATGACCCTCAGTAATGAGGATGATTACGCGAGGAAAAGGAGGACTCACAAAAGTAATGATTTTAAAGATCTTTACAAAAAAAAAATTATTACTTCGATGGGTGGACGAGCTCAGCCCACCTGGTGTTAAGTGGTTACTGGAGCCCATCGACATCTACAACGTAAATGCGCCACCCAACTTGTGATATAAGTTCTAAGGTCTCAGTATAGTTACAACGGCTGCTCCACCCTTCAAACCGAAACGCGCTACTGCTTCACGGCAGATATGGGCGGGGTGGTGGTACCTACCCGTGCGGACTCACAAGGGATCCTACCACCAGTGATTACGCAAATTATAATTTTGCGGGTTTGATTTTTACTACACCGTGTTATTCCTTCACCGTGGAAGTCAATCGTGAACATTAGTTAAGTACGTATTTTATTAGAAAAATTGGTACCCACCAATACATAAATACATTTATCAATATGAAATCAATACATTTATTATGAGGACGTTCCGTTAGACGATAAGAAAATACTATTATTTTATAAATGCTCTGGCCTGTGTTCGTACTGATGTTCCTCCTTAAAATTAAGTAATTATGAATCCTACTCAAACAGCATAATGTTTTATTTAGTACTAGCTGACCCGGCAGACTTCGTAGCGCCTCAATCGATAAAATATAAAAGACCTAAACTTTTGTATTAAATAAACTTAAAACAAACACAACGAATCCGTCCAACGGGGGACACATCAAAGGAAAAACAAAATTGTTATTTTTATTTAATTCCGAGCATTTTCATATTTATCTACCTTTTAAACCTTCTCTGGACTTCCACAAATAATTCAAGACCAAAATTAGCCAAATCGGTCCAGCCGTTCTCGAGTTTTAGCGAGACTAACGAACAGCAATTCATTTTTATATAGGTATATAGATAGATGGCAAAAGATAAGAACATTTTTACAAATATGTCTCAAGCTGGTGGCAGCGATCAGGAACAAAGAATTTACGGTTATGCTCCGAATTAATGATGTCATGGTGCCATCTGGCCCCTAATCTAATGCAAATGTTAGATAACTGAAGGCCAGAGAACATTTGTCGGTCCTCAATAAGATCATATTGAACTTGTCACGCAATGTTCCACAGCAGTATTTCTGAAACAGGGCATTATTTCTCATTGCGTTAACAAGCGAATGTGCTCACGGTCCACCTATTAATAAGTGGTTACCGGATTCGAGAGATGTAACAACGTGAATGCCGCCACTCGTCTTGAGACTTGAGGTCTGAATTGTAAAGTAATTACGCAAACTACATACTGCTCTGTCAAGAAAGTATCGGGAACAGATCAATAAAACATAAAATGTTAGTTGATATATTTTATAGTATGCTCCTTCAGAAATAATGCACTTATGCCAACCAATAATCCAATCACCGAAACATTTCTTAACAAAACGAGGCTTGTGGAGAGTATTAAGCGGTAGGCAGCGGCTTGGCTCTGCCCCTGGCATTGCTGAAGTCCATGGGCGACGGTAACCACTCACCATCAGGTGGGCCGTATGCCGGTCTGCCTACAAAGGAAATAAAAAATAAAAATAAATGTTCACGATTGACTTCCAATGCGTTTCGGTTTGAAGGGTGGGGTAGCCGTTGTAACTATACTGAGACCTTAATAATAAATAAATAAATATTTACTAACAATCACGCCACGTTAACTGGTCCCGTGATAAGTTCGTAAAGAACCTGTGTTACAGGTACTGGTAGAACTGATATCCAGGCTCCAGTAATTACTTAACACCAGGTGTGTGAGCTCATCCACCCATCTAAGCAATAATTTTTGTTTTCTTCTTTTAAAAATATTTTTTTTATTCTAATAATGATTAGGTCGATTTTTTTTCTGTTTGAGCTTTCAGTCGAATATCCGGACCGTCTGTGTAAAAAAGCGTGTGTTTCTATCCAAGGAATACGCTTCATCCAGGTAATAACCGGAGAATACGTTAATATGGATAAAAGGAAATGCGGTTCCTCTTAATAGAGTATGTTCTTCTATTATCCGCTCAAACAACCTTTTTCTCACGGCCTGTACAAAGCGGCGCCGTATCCTTTGTTCGATATAGTATTCAAAGAAATTTCTTTAGCATTCATATAAAGAGAGAATAGTTCTGAATTTTCCATATTGAAAACCGGAGGGGTACGGAATGTACGGATGCACGCAATATGAATCACGAAAATTCAATGTCATTCAGGTATGTAACACTCGCCCCGGCTGGCTGACCTGCATATATGTATACCTATATATTATTTAGATAGTCCGTAGATTCAGATAGAACACACTGTATTTAATTCGGTTAAAACGCTGTTCTACTGTTGCGACGCGTTTCAGTAAAATACTTATGGCTACTAGTAAAATATAAGGCATAAAGTTCTAGAAGCTGAAGCCGAAATTGGTATTCTTATCAGTTTACTCAGCAACTAGAAATATCGGTCATCGAAGCTCTCCACTAGAGAAATATATTATAGAATAAATACCTATTACTGGTGGTAGGACCTCTTGTGAGTCCGCACGGGTAGGTACCACCACCCTGCCTATTTCTGCCGTGAAGCAGTAATGCGTTTCGGTTTGAAGGGTAGGGCAGCCGTTGTCACCATACTGAGACATTAGAACTTATATCTCAAGGTGGGTGGCGCATTTACGTTGTAGATGTCTATGGGCTCCAGTAACCACTTAAGACCAGGTGGGCTGTGAGCTCGCCCACACATCCAAGCAATAAAAAAAAAAGAGTCACGCTCTTCAACAATGAGACAAAGACTAAGAAAATATTATGAGTTCGAATATGTAGGTATAATAGCCGGCAAACTTCTTGAGCATTTGTTGACGTAGTGGGGGTAAGTTTGCGCATGGTACACTCACGCGCAAAAACCTTATTTACTCTGCGTCATAATGCAATTAAATTATTAAAATCAACATATGTATTTATTTATATATTTATTAGAACATCAACAAAAAATATAGGTTAATAATTATAATAATTTAATCTTGGGGTAAAATAGATATTCCTTCTATTAAGTCAAAACTAGAGCTGTTGCCAGGTCTTCGTTCAGTTGAAGCGAAGCTGGTATTTGTAATTTTTTTTTCGTTATCATAATCTTGACCATTATCATCATCACTGTTTTCATCACCCGAGTCGCCATCATCGTGATAAGTCGACATAGGGCTCATCGGTGTAGTTTACGACTCGGTCGGTTCGATCTTCTTTTTTGTCTATAATTAATTATTTTTTGAAGATATTCGATTCGTAGTAATCGAATGTTACTTTTTTCAATTACCAGCTTCCGATTATTTTCTGTTTTTTTTTCCATCTGAAGCCTAGCTCTTTCATAATTCGTCGTAAACTTCATTCCGAGCCATTAAATATATCTTCTTTAAAATTTTCGAAGCCTTTCTACGGTACGGAGTTTCGCTGCTTGTTATGTAGTTATTATGATTACATCTTTTTATTACAGATTGAACGAAACTATCCATTCCGGTAACTTTCTTCTTCCCTGATCTTTTCTTACCCGGAGTCCCAAGCACGACGAGCAAGCCAGAGCCTTTAGCTTCGTTAATAATGCACCTAACAGTACTCACTGATGTTTTTGTTGCTTCCGAAGTCTGTTTTACTTTTTCCATAATATTATTCTTCCCCTGTTTTATAATGAAGCAATATACGTCGTACACAATTTTTCTACCCTTTCTTTTGAATACTACACCAGTTTGTCGCGGCATAGTGTATTTTTTATAAAAAATCAACAAACACTCAACAAATAGCAATGGCAACAAAGTCAACAAGCAATTATAACAAAATATAACTTAACGATTAGTAACGATAGACTTTTCACTGTACGCAAGCGTACTTTTGGGAGCAAGCGGAACGAAGGCGAGGTGCGGGACGCAAGGTTCGACTGATCTACCAATAACGCGCTCGATACGATTTCCCCTGTCGTCGCGCCTCACCCTCACCACCAAAGTGATCTAAAATTCGGTTCTGCGCAGTCAAGGTCATTTGCTCACGATGTTTGCCGGTTACTATACCAACCAACCATTTACTAAGAAGCAGTGATGCATTTTTAGCAGATGAATGGTTTATTGATTTTAGCATTTAGCCTTATATATTAGAGACCGGACTGCGCTCGGCATACGATGTAAAAAAAGGAATTGAGAAACCGGAGATTCGATACTAGACAAGCGTCAATTTGTTACGATGTAGGCATGCAGTTTAGTAGCGCATGGGGCTTGTACATCGCTTGATATCGTCAGTCGTACATAGCCCACCCGACACGTCAGACACTTGTGACAATATACGGAGTAAAACCGGAACTAACTTGTTTTATTTACAAGGGCAGTTAACGCCCTTTACATCGCATAAGAAACCGTACAGTGGTGACCCCGAGGACTCGAACTTTATACCGTGCGTTTTTGTGTGTTGTGCAAGTGTTTTTGGGACTTGGACCGTTACGACCCACTACTGCGATGCCCTGCACCATGGCGCAAGCCGACGCAGACGCTACTGACAAACAAACCATGGCTCCGGAAGCTGCTCTCCAACTGACAAGCATCACCGTATTATCACGCATACTAGAGTTTTGGACGGACCAACCACGCCTTTGGTTCATCCAGATTGAGGCCATCCTGTGCCCGCAGAAGCTGGGCGACGAGCAAAAATACAATTTGGTAATCATAAAATTAAGCAAGGATGCCATCGCCCAAGTTACTGATTTTTTTACCAAACCACCGGACAAAAATACGTATAAAGCTCTGAAGGAGAAATGACTTCAAGTTTTTGAAGAGTCAAAGGCCCGGATACTATACAAGCTGATTGGTGAGATGGAGCTTGGTGACCAGTGCCTATTCCAGCTGCTGACGAAGATGATTGACCTGGCGTGGGGGAAGATGAGCGAAGACACTCTGTCTTTGCTGTGGAAATGGCATCTCCTGATGTCGGTACGCGCAGTCCTCACCGTATCTGAGACCAGCGACTTGGCGCAGCTCGCCAAACGCACCGACAAAGTACTGGAAAACATCCAGCCTTCCCATATCTCAGAGGTTGGTGCCACAGTAAAGGGTGAGTCTACTACATCTATTTTGGCGGAGATGGCGAAAATAATTTCGCAACTCGACAACTTGACCGTTTCTACTTCGGGACCCAGACGTAACTTCAAACGTAACAACGGGAACTTCCGGGAAAGGTCACCCCGGCCGGGTGCATAAGAAACCGTACAACAACAATCACGGTAAGCCGGTAGCTTTGTAGGTATAAGACAAATGGAAGATCTTCCACCGAGCGGATGATATTACTCGGTAGACCGACGGTCCGAATGGTGTTATTCGGAACTTGTATATATGCGAGCTTATCTTGAAAATGTCGTAAGCGAGATTCGGGCATCTGTCAAATATCTTGTGTTCTGTAATGATTACCACCAGAGTTTCTTTTAATTACTCAGAGCTTTAGTGGAAGTGGTCCTTAGCTCCAGCGAGTCTCGTGCAACGCAGGCGCGCCACGCCGCCTAGCCCAGCAATGGCCAGCATCCTTCATTCCGCTCCCGACCTCCTACCGGATCGCACACCTACGAACTTCATCTCTGACACCTAGCTGCCTCTTGCAGGTTTCCTTCAAACTGAAAGGGTGAGTCCTTGAAGATTTGTAGATAATATAATATACTCGGAATTAAATTAATTACTTCCAATCAAGCAATTGTTTGCCAAGTTAAAGACTACAATAAACATTATTAGACTGGTGGAAATTGGATGTGGTTAATATAAATCTTTGAAGGATATTTTACTTTTGCACTGGACTGAGCTTACGAATAACGTAAATTTAGCATAATTTTATTAAATGGTGTTTTTTTAAACCTTTCATTATTTGATCATTACTTAAAAATAAACATGAAATATTTCATGAATACTATACAAATTCTATTAAACACTTACTACTTTTTCTGTATATTGGTAAATATAATATATTTTAGTTTCTAAATAGTTCACTAAGCAAATACCATTCCAACTTTCTGTCGTCGAATTATTGATGTTTGAGTTTTAGTTTTCAACATTATGTTACACTTATCAGTATGTGGCCATCGGACTCCATAGACATCGAAGTGTCAATCGAATCGTGTTTTTTTTTCTTTCCTACCTAAGCTGATAGCCTTGAGAGGCTATATCAGCGTCGCCTTAACTAATACGTGAGCTCACGGGGCTCAAACCTGATGACATTGCTAACACGAACCCTACAAGAGCCGTGCTTCGCAGAATCTACCACCGGATCGGAAACGCGACCCACTGAGAAGATCCGGCGAGAAACTCAGTGGGCTGTGTCTAAGAGTAGAATCGTGTAATGACTGGCCCACCCATCAAATATATAGGAACGCATGACTGCTTCTTTACAGACGTCAGCATATAATGCAGAAAATTGCTCACTTACACATGCAATTGTCTTGTAATATTGAAAAAAATCCTTTTGCTAATTATTGAATCGTTGATCTGTAGAAATTGCACCTGTGACTTTCAAAGTCCACGTAAATAGAAAAAAAATTTTAAACAGTGAAAGGAAAATTCATTTCAAAGTAAATTAAAGATAAATTATTGGTTTTCGTAATCCTGGTGTGAATTCGTGTAGCTGTATAAAAACAAATAAAACGAAGGAATTAGTATCTGTCTGCACATAATATTTGCATTACCGATTTTTTGTATATATCACTCTTACCACAAAATTTGTCTTAAATAGAATAAATGCAATGCAGTAACGTACAACATTGATTGATTTAATGTTTCCTCTGAGCTGAATTCAAAACAAAAAAAACTCGCCAGATGCGCAGATCTCTAACATTTGGCGATGACTACTCAATGTGAAGTATTGAGATAAACATTGTAGACGCAAAATTGGACGGTTTTCAGACATGTTTTATATAAAAACGTCGGTTTATTTGTTCCCACAGAACGATCGGCGGGCGTGTGAACGCCTGCTGTGACACGACGACTCAAACAAGTAAAATATTCTCCGCGGTGAACAACTTCTTCGCTGATTCGCCTCTGGTGAATCACATCAAGGGCATCATGGTAAGAGATTGTATGAAACAACAAAATAATAAACAAACTAACACCCAACTCTTAATATAACTTTTCAACACTAAAACATGCATAGCCTGCATCTTTTTCAGTCTGTGAACAATCTTCTAGTATTTTCTGGGTCATGCTAGGATATTCGCGAACTGTACTCGATTTTAGAACTGTCCTGATCACGGACGACTGATAACAAACATAAAATGAAGCTGTAACCGACATTTTATATTTAGATCATCATCGTCCGTTTGCAAGTGGTTATTATTTAAATCGATAAATATTCAAATAAAATTATAAAACTGACATTAATATTCGTTAATGTGCTGTCCTGTTGATTTTTGATGGAAGTCATTGCGTTTCTAAGCAGGGTTGTTATAACTAGTAGGTAATAATGTCAACTAGTGGTCCCGCAGTAGTCGAAATTCGACTATAATTAATTGGAATTGTAAGTTTGTACACTATTATGATTGTATTTTATACTTCTATAATCACAAATTTCGCCAAGGCTACACTATAAAAAATATTAACAAAGGCAAACAATATTTAATTTATTCTCAATTTGACAACAGACGCCAAGAACAAAAGTTTGACAATAAATAGTATGCATGTGATAGCTTATGCCTATGTATAGGTATAGATATATAACACAAATAATGTTAGTAAATTAAGTAATAATATATTGATAGTTTATGCCTATGTATAGGTATAGAAATATAACGCAAATAATGTTAGTAAATTAAGTAATAATATATTTATAAATAATTGCAGTAAATACAATTTTAAATTAAAGCCAACGTTCGAGCGATGACAAACAANTTAAAAATGAGTAAAATTCTAAATGTATACTATTTTTATTTTCATGAACAATTCGAAATTCGAATTCAATAAACTTTTTTGTGGCCAGCATTCTAAAAGAAAAGTTTTTACTGTGTGACAATACTTATGACCTGACTAGGTATATATTTCCGAAGCTGTTCACCGCTGCACTTGAAGATGTCTTCAAGACGCTGGACTGTAAAACATGTGGAATCAACGTCAACGGAGAGTACATGTCATAAGTACCTTCGATTTGCCGATGACAGTCTTAATGTCGGAATCGCTGGAGGACCTCAGTCGTATGCTCAACGATCTCAATGCTGCTTCCCGATGCGTGGGACTGCGGATGAACCTTGACAAGACGAAAGTCATGTTCAATGATAAAATCGTCCCGGGCCAAGTTACCATCTCGAATGCAGTCATTGAAGAGGTAAATACTTTGTCTACCTCGGTCAGGCTATCCAGCTTGGCCGGGGTAACTTCAATACAGAGATTGAGAGACGCATACGACTGGGTTGGTCGGCATTTGGGAAATTCCGTGCAATCCTCACCTCGCAAATTCCTCAATGCCTGAAGACAAAAGTCTTTAACCAGTGCGTTCTCCCCGCGATGACATACGGCGCGGAAACCTGGACACTGACGGCAGTGCTGGCCCATAAGTTAAGAGTCGCACATCGGGCGATGGAGAGAGCTATGCTCGGTATTTCTCTAAGGGACAAAATCCGGAACGAAGAAATTCGACGGAGAACCAAAGTCGACGACATAGCTCTCAAAGTTAGCAAGCTAAAGTGGCAATGGGCCGGTCACATCTGTCGAGCCAGCGACGCCAGGTGGGGGAGGAAAGTCCTCGAATGGAGGCCACGGATGGGTACCAGGAGCGTGGGGCGTCCTCCAACCAGGTGGACTGACGACTTAGTGCGCATGGCGGGAGGTCGTTGGATGCGGAAGGCGGAGGACCGCATTATGTGGAAGGCATTGGGGAAGGCCTATGCCCAGCAGTGGGCAGATAAAGGCTGATGATGATGATGATGATGATACGGCACTCGTATTATTTCTAGTTTATGACTCTATTAACTTAAATATTAAGTGTATTGTCTATGGATCATAGATAATACCTACACTTATTAAGTTCTATCCATGGAGGTAATAAGTAGGTACAACAAAAAAAGAAGTTCAAAAACAAATGCCATAGGTACCTATAGTCGTATTTTTAATTAGACGAAGCAGAAGAGGACTTTTTGGCGGGAACGCGAGGAGTGAAGTTGTGTGATTTGTTTTATTTTGTCTATTTAGTGTTTCTTTGGGTTTAAATGTGTAATAATGGTGGTTTATTAGTTGTTTAATATCTGTGAAAGTGCACAAATGTGGGAAAATGAAACAAAGCCGCTGGACTTAACTTATCGGGATCCTCCAAAAAGTCCACTGAAAAAATCTTAGTAAATGACCACCATTTTACTAAGATTATATTTCATCCTGTATCATCTCATTTCCTTTCATCATTTTTCATAAAAATAAGAATATGAATTAAAATAAGACATGACTTAAAGGTCTCAGTTACCAGGTCATAAAACCCCTTAAAAAAAATTAGACGAAGCTAGCTGACAGTAGCTAATGTCACTTTGTAAAATAATGTTGCTATATTTAAAGTAATAGTGATGCGTTCAGTTCTCGTTCAATCACATGAATGAACAATGAGCCGAGAAGAGTTAATCATTTCAAACTATAAAATATTATCTCTATTTTACAATAAAATTGTTTTTTTTTTATGATTGAAGTATTACTGGTAGCCCGGAGGCCTTTCCAGTTTCACCAGGACTGGTGGGCCGAATAAAATTGTATTAAAGTGCTCCAATATATGTTACTAGTAGTATGTAACTACAATCAGTTTTTTTTTATTTTCATTACCTACCTATAATTGTTATATTTTATACATCTATAGTTTCAACTATATGATGTATTGAAAATAGGACAGTCTTACAAGTTTCCTCGTTATGTTTTCCTTAATGTTTAAAACACTCGCTATTTAGTATAGGTAGATACTATAGGAACATAATCGTCGAAAACTGGTTGGTATATACAAAGCATGGCTAAAATTCGAACCCCGTACCCGATATCGGCAGTACGGCACACTAACTATTCACTAGACAATCGAGGCAATTTCATTAATTCAGGAGTTTTTTCAATCATTCACTTTGTCACAACACTATTTTTATTTAATCAAAAACTGACAGCACATTAAACGTCAGTTGACTTCGTCTAATTAAAAATACGTACCGTAAAATGGGGCGATTAGGGACAACTTCCAACTTTATGACCAATTTTAAGGTAGTTGTTGATGATTATAATGCTATATCAGGATTAAAATGATTGAGTCTTGGGGGCATCTTTGTTATCCAATTTAAAACTATGCAACTAGCATTCCAGTTTAAGCAAAAAAAGCAAAAATAGGTGTAATCCCTATTTACCCGGAAATTGCGGTTAATTGGGACGAAATGAGAAATTTGCTAGGGTTGGCACTGCTTGGTTTTAATTTATTTATTTTATTTACTTATGATTAATTTATATTTACTTGGGAAATGATCCACGACAGATTTGTTCAGTAAGTTGTGAGACAATTAAAAAAAACATCTATTTCATCACTTAAAATTAGTTCAGCGCAATCGGACAACTCCGAATGAACATTGACGGAGACCACGCTACCGTGGACATTATTGTAGTCCCAAAGGATTATGTATATGGGAGAGTAAGCACCTAAATTCGAACGAGTGAGCTTTCTTATAAACGGTTTATATTTCTTCGTTCTTGGTAAGTACTTAGGGGCTGATATTTTTATCTGGGTTAAGAGATTAGGTGTGTCGGTTATTCCATGGATTAATCAGATGAATACCCCCCACTCTGAACAAATATTAAATATTTTATAATATATTACTTAGACATTTTTGTCCACCTCGAGATTTCATTGTTCTTGTTACATGTCTGTGAAAAATCGACTTACTTATATTAAATTGCTTAGCTATTTCAACTAAAGACTTATTCCCAATTTCCTAGGCTTCTATTGCTGTTTTTAATATTAAGGGATCATATCTCTTATAAGGCNGGGTAAAGGGAAACCCAAATCATACCATCTTTATAGGGAGACTTAACCCTAGGACACCACAGGTCTGTATCCATCTATAATTCCACAATTACTCAACACATTGTTAAATATCAATTAATATAAACTTATTATTACACTTTTAGGAAACTATCGAATCGGAATTTTCAAAATTCGGTAAAATCATTCACTGTCGTCTCGTAAGGGATCTTGTCACAGGAAAATCGAAGCAGTATGCTTTTGTAGAATATGAAAAGTACAGTTGTATGGAAAAGGCACTAAGAGAGATGCACTTAGAATACATAGATGGTTCAGAGATAATTGTAGAGCGGGAAGCTGAACGACGACTTCCTGGATGGAAGCCTCGACGCTTAGGCGGTGGGTTTGGTGGCCGCAAAGAATCAGGACAGTTAAGGTTCGGCTGTAGAGATAGACCTTTCCGGAAACCATACACTGTAGGAAACAAAATTGAGTCTGATACAAAAGCTGAGTGGTAAAATGAATAATTATAAACCAATGTAGGAAACAAAATTGAGTCTGATGGTAAAATTAATAATTATAAACCTATCTGTTTAAATAATTCTATTTGACTACTTAGCGTTAGCTAACATAATATGTAATTTAATGACTAAATACATTTAGTAAATATAATTAACTTAAATCTAATCATTTTTTTTATGAAGCTTGCTTCAAATATAAGAATCCTGAGAATAATGAACAATGAGAAGGAATATACTTAAACTTTATGGACACCTCTGAATATTGTACAATCTAAAGGGCCATGTCCTGTTCTATAACTTGTCATGTTTAAATAATGTGTGTTTTCTGTTTTAAAGAACTCAAAAGATGGTGTAAATCATTCACAAAACCTGAAATTTGTCTTTCATTGTTAGAAGCTGTATTCTTGATTATATTAGTCACAAGCCTGACCTTTTTAGTACAGCACTTCTTAGCATGTGCGAGTAGGAATGTAAACGAACATGTGAATACATCCACCACTTTTAGACATGAGACAACTGTACCAGCCATAATCCCGGACCAAACAAAGTATTACAAGCAAACAACACATAAGACATTTCCACCGGGTATTGAGTGCACTTGGAAACCCTCAAAAAAGACTAGACCTACAATGCGTTTCTTTGAATATAATCAAACTGAGAGTTCATTTTATGAATTAGGAATAATTCAATCTGGTAAACTTAACATTTCTCAGGCTAAATCCACACCTGATACAATATCAGATATTTTAGGAAAGGACAAAAAATTTGATGGAGAATATGCAGAAGATTCTTTTAATAATCATGTCTTGGCTTTAGTAAAATTTAAACCTCCGAAAGACATAATTTTTGGCTGCATACTCACTATAATCTCAGAATTTTGGACAATAACTGCTGCCAGTTGTATAGATGCAATTGAAGAACTGGATTCCCTGGACTCTTTTGTGATGTTGGAAGACTATGGGCTGGAGAAGAAAGGTCAGATACATACTCTGTCAGATGTGCAAGTACACCCGTTTTACCAGAATGGGAACAAGAGTTATGACCTAAGTGTTCTAAAGAGCGAGGATAGCTTAACATCTGGTTCAAGGTTTCCAGTGGAATTACCGAATATTATTGATTATTTTCTGATTACTGTAGGTGAAAGTTTCACTATGCTTGGATTTGGTCCATTAAGGTAAATAAATAATTATACATTTATTTTATTTACCTAAAATAAAGTTGGAATAATATAATGTTAAAGTGCCTATCCATTTTATAGGACAATTGATAAAAGTCTATCAGGTCACAGACTGCACAAAGCATATGTGTACAATCTCTCAACCCGTCAGTGCCGCAGTACAGATGACACATGGTCACTCCGCCATCTGCAGAGCGGCTCGGCCTTGTTGCAGGGTGGATGTGGACGGTCAGCGCTGTGTGCAGGGGTCTTATGGAGTAGAAATGCACCCTGCAACTACTGTGCGGGGACACCGCTGCTGTCCGAATCCTTGCTCCTTGGCGTCATGAGCGACAATCAGCAGTGTGGCGTCTCCTGCGACCCTCAGATTTACGTCAATATAGCCATGCTTAGGGATTGGATCGATTTTATTATTGGAAATAAATGACATGCGTCGTATTCTTGTTTTGCATGCTTCCCAAACTGCCAACGGGACACCGGTACCAACCAATCTGAACTAGTTATCAGCAATGTTTATATTTATATCGAGCAGTTNATGAGCGACAATCAGCAGTGTGGCGTCTCCTGCGACCCTCAGATTTACGTCAATATAGCCATGCTTAGGGATTGGATCGATTTTATTATTGGAAATAAATGACATGCGTCGTATTCTTGTTTTGCATGCTTCCCAAACTGCCAACGGGACACCGGTACCAACCAATCTGAACTAGTTATCAGCAATGTTTATATTTATAACGAGCAGTTTATCACTATTTTCATGCAGTACCTATTAATGGTTTGTAATTTCAATCACCAAAATAAAAATCATTACAATAATCTGCCGCTTCTTGTCTAGTAAGGTACCTAGTGTGTTGTTGTTTAGCTTTTTGTGTTATTAATGTTGGTTAACATAAGTTGGATATAGATAAAAAAAAAACAAAAATATACAGTCACATAGCAAGATAAACTATTTTTATAAAATTAAAGTAATCATTTCTTATTGGATTTGCGTTGCCTCGTGTACTAAGCCAAAGTTGTAAAATTATATGAGAAGAATTAAATGTTTAGCAATTATAAAATTTGGTGAGCCACAAAAAAACAGCATAGAAATAATTTGGCCAGCATACAAAAATTTTGTTTGCAATTAAAAAAATCAGGCAGCAATCCTTGTTCCGAAATATTTTTGATAAAGGTCAAAGATTAAATCATAAATAGGCAGCTTACAATAACTTGAGCTTGAATAATAAATATTCAGTCCACAAAATAACTATTTGATCAGCAAGATTTCATAATTCATCAGCAGAGAAAACATGTCTATATGCAGTGGGTTTGATTGGTATACATATTTAAAACATGGTGAGCAAAATAACTACATAATGGGATCGCGTTTTCGTTGAAAAATCGACAATGTAGGTACCGTTAAAAGTGCGCGGCGCGGAGTAGGAGCAGGCGCGTGACACGAGGAGCTAGTCGCGTGCGAGTATTGTCATTCGTGATTCGATGATTATGCGGCGATTAAATTGCAGTGGTAACGTGTTTTAAAGAGATTTGTGCTGTTTTTGCTACTTAATTGTTTTATCTCAATTATATTTTATAAGAATAAAAAATATTTTATTAATTTACATTTCTATATCTAAAGTAGTGATACTTACCCGTCCGGATTTATAAGACGTCCTGCCGCCAATTTTTGCGAATATTTATTTTATTTCACGATATAATAATTCTTTGATATGGAAGTCTCGTGAACATTTATCAAGTACCTATGTATTTTCGTGAACATAAAGTACAGTAGGTACACATTTCATTAGAAAATTCGTGCCTACCTAATAGCTGTTACTGCCGTAGTCGCATCGCCCGATATTAGTACGGCTTTATAACCTATTATAAACAATAATTATGTATATAAATTAAATACCCTTGAAATTTATAAACGCAACATTAATTTGTATCATTGTAACCTTATTCACGAAGTATAAACACAAACCAATAACTTGCAAAGAGAATCGGAGACTAGTTATTGCTCTCTATTACAATTTGATTGGTTGTCAAATCTTATCAATGTCTACTTGTGGACTCAATCATAACATATTATTATTAATGAACAAAGCATTATTGGCGTGCTCCCTGGTGATGGCGGCGTACGTGGTGGGTGCCCTGACGGCCGCGGCGCTGCAGATTATTGCTGCTCTCGAAATTGAAATTGAAGATAACGAAACTACAATTAAATATTGATTTCATTTTTTATACACGCGTCAATAGTGCTACCATTACCGATATGTAATTAGTGTTTAAAAGCTAAGTAAATTAGAAAAAAAATCGATTTTGCATTTTCTCCAGTTATCGTGGGAATATGTTATTTGTGATTATGGTGGATAATGGGTATGTGATATGGTGGAGGACTTCCCAATTCAGAGATGTATTATATTTTAAACTATTATTTTAGTTAAATTTCTCTCTTATTAAATTCGTTCTATAATAAGTACATAAAAAAATCTCAGGGAAATAATGTTATCTGAACACAGCCGTTCTTTAGTACCAGGCATTTCTAAATATGACCAAATTCCGGCGATGTTCTACGTGGTGTTGTAACAATTTGTAAATTAGGAAACCGTACATGTCACAACAATCATTAAGATAGGTAAAATATTAAAATTATTAGAAAATGGTCTAATAAAACTACAAACATAAGCATACATAACATAAGTATATTAAATATTTTCCCGTAAGTTTTTATATATAATACAGTTCCGATATATTTCCATGATGTCAAATTCTTCTCTTCGTTAGTTCTTTGCAAATATACAGACAAAATAAAACAAAAATACACCTTTAAACGGTTTTAACTAACATTTACTAAGGCATTTCGACAATTTACATNTAATAAAACTACAAACATAAGCATACATAACATAAGTATATTAAATATTTTCCCGTAAGTTTTTATATATAATACAGTTCCGATATATTTCCATGATGTCAAATTCTTCTCTTCGTTAGTTCTTTGCAAATATACAGACAAAATAAAACAAAAATACACCTTTAAACGGTTTTAACTAACATTTACTAAGGCATTTCGACAATTTACATATTTCATTTGTCATTCTGTACATGCAAACTTTTTACAAAACCTGACAGATAAAGACAGTTGAATTCTAGAGTTTATTGTCTATGTCTATGGTACAGCGTACTGCTAGCTGCTACTGCCGCAGATGTGGAAGAAACAATAAAAGTTGATACGCTCGAAGGGCTGATAGAAGAAAAGAAAAGACTGCAGTAACACCAACCGATCATTGCATCCATTGATAACATAACTATACTACATATTCAAAAATATTATTTATTAAAATTAAACCAAAATCTACAACCGTCTTAATTATGCAATGAAAAGAAATAAAGAAAATATTGAATAGGAATTTAATAATAATAATAGTAATAATAATACGATTTCTCATCGACCTAATTAAATTAATTGAATTATACATTGAATGGAAAATTCTATTGAGTTACCTTACAATACGCTACAAGCGTCCGGTACAAACGACCATAAACATACATCGCGGAATATTGTGACGCTATGAGCTGCTGTGACGTCATAGTTTAGTCCAACATAACTAAAACTCCATACTTCATTTGTATTTTACAAAATCTAGGGTCCTTTGCCATTTCAATTATTCATAAACATACAGATTTAGAACAATTTTAGGGTAGAACATTCTCAGCGACCACAGATTTAAGATCGTGCGATGAAAGTTAATGTGTATCCTGCGATGGACTTTAAACTAGCGCCCGCGGACAACAACGCCCTCTTTCCTCTCGCCACGACATATACTTGTCGGAGTTTTAAAGTGTGCATCTCAAGTCTATGGCCCGTGTAAATGTGTCAACAATCGGCACTAAGCCGCAACTAATGTCGAGTTAGTCGGCTAGCTCTCGCGATCTGACTCGATCGTTCGACAACTCGTTAAGTTTCACAGTTCTGTTCGATTCGCATCTCACAAACTCATTTTAGTTAAAACAATCGAATGTGGCGGTCATTTGTAAATCGATCGTCGAAACATATTTGTTAAATCTCCGACGTTCAGCCAAGAAGGCGAATTGGAAGCGACACGACCCCGACCCGGCACGGAGCGCGGCCGGCTCGCCGACGGTACAAAGTTCAACTAAGATAAGTTTATGGAGGCTCCAACGCTCGTGCGCCGACTGTCTCGGGGGGCGCAGGCCTAGATGCCGCTGCGGTACTGCTCGTCGCTGCCGGCTTGCGCGGGATCGTAGACTCCGCTCTGAAATTGATAATTATAGTAAGCCCGTGCCCCACGCGCCCCGGCGTCGCGGCGTCGGGTCTCGCATCCATCATCGATCGCACTGTAAATAAGGTGTTTGTTCGCAGAGCGCGGTGAGCGCGGCGGGCAGACATTGCACGCTGCAGGGAGCGGCCCAGTCAAGTCGGTTAGTAAGCAATAGGGATATTCCGATACTAGTAAATATGAGTAGGTACTCGATACTTTTGATTTGATACCAAGTATTTATAGCATCGAATCAATCTTGCGATACATACTCGGTATCATACATACTCGGTGCAACAATGTCTCAATGTCAGTAGTATCGAAAAAAGATTTGAGTACTATCGAAATGAGTAGGTATCGATACTTTGACGGTACCGGAGCATCCCTAGTAAGCAAGTGTAGGCGGTGCATAGTTACCGGCGCGCGGCGGCGCCCGCTAGAGGCCGTTCGGGAGCTCCTCCTCCTGCTGTGCCGCATGACGGTAGCAAAATTGGAAAATAATTATTTCACGTTGTAAAAGGTTTGCATTGGGCGAACTCAAAACTATTCGCTTGGGGTCGTACCTGGGGGGAGCGCCGGCGGGGGGTCGGGGACGGGGGTAGGGATATTGACAAATGGGCGTTCTGGAGGAAAATATATTTAATGAGTTTTGGTTAATTTTACATTATTNCTCCTGCTGTGCCGCATGACGGTAGCAAAATTGGAAAATAATTATTTCACGTTGTAAAAGGTTTGCATTGGGCGAACTCAAAACTATTCGCTTGGGGTCGTACCTGGGGGGAGCGCCGGCGGGGGGTCGGGGACGGGGGTAGGGATATTGACAAATGGGCGTTCTGGAGGAAAATATATTTAATGAGTTTTGGTTAATTCTACATTATTTTCTATTAATTTCTTGTGGTGTAATGCTGAGCTAGTAATATTTAATTTTTGAGTGGAATAGCTCAAATATATTCATGACTCTCCTGGCGTTAAGTGATTATCGGAGCATAGACATCGCGACGTGCACGCCGCCACTCTCCATGACACATGAAGTCGAAGTTAGAAAGAATAGCTTAATGCAATTTCATTACAACTGGAACGCATCACTGCGTAGCGACAGAGATATCCAAGTCGGCGGTACCTGCCCGGGCTGGCTCACAACACTACACTACTGAACTTTATTTGAAGACTGTAAGATCCCGCATAGCTGTGTGGCCGATGTATTACTGTACTGTTTAACAACGCTGTCAATTAAACTAAAGACAAATCTTAAAATGTTAACTGTAATTTGGGATTAGGTGACACTACGTTTGTTCCCTGAAGTCGTGTTACCTGCAGCGCGGGGGCCGGCACGAAGTAGTTGTTGTAGGGCGCGGGCGCGGGCGGGGGCGGGGGCGCGGGCGCGGGGGCCGGGGGGCGCGCCGCCGTCCCCCCCGGGTTGAACACGTCCACGTATGAGTTCTTTATATCTGGAAACAATACATTCAGCGCTCAACTCTCTGGAGGTTAAAGAGGGAAGATCTTCAACCGAGCGAATGTCTTTGCTTGGTAGACCGACGGCCCGAATGTTGTTGTTCGGAACTTGTGTTTAAGTAAGCTTATCTTGAAAATGTCGTTAGCGATATTCAGGCATCTGTCAAATATCTTGTTTTCTGTGACGGCCACTCCACAAAACAGACGGATATCTTGTTAGGGATGTCTTTTTTAAAAGATAATTTTCTTTAATAGATTCAGATTATTCCGTTCTGGTGTGCGCTTTTGTCGCGACCAGCCGACCTCCCGTGCCCTCTCCCCGAGGACACGACGACGTGAACACGTTATTGGTGTGCGTTCAGATTAGAGAGTTACAGTACATAGTACTCACGTCGTCCCTTCTGCATCTTGAATATATTGGAAGGCGGCGCCGTGAGGGGGCCGGCGAGGGGGACGGAGGGAGGGGCGCCGTTGGGTTGCAGCGGGGGGGAGATACTCCTGTAAAAATATATTCATATTCGTAGTTTTTATAAGTACAATTACAGAAGTGTATCCAATTAGCCGTGCGCGCCACTCGGGGCACTCACCTAATTTGCGAGACGATGTCGGCCATCTTGGGGGGCGGGGGAGGGGGCTGGTCGTTCTCGTCCACGTCGCCGTCGAGGTTGCGCCACCGCTTCTTGTCTTCGTCCCACACGATCTATCACACAAACACAATACTATACGGTGCATTGTGTCGCCAGCATCGAAACGGAAAAGATTATGTGTTTACTTAAAATGAGCTTAAATATTTGTCAGCGAAGTAGGCTCACACGTTGCGACTCTCGATGCGTAATGCAAAGTACATTACTAGGATATTAATTTAGAGACCTATTTCATTCTGTTTTTTTAGTACACCAAGTATACCAAAAGTGAACATTATCGCAACAATATACCAGTAAACATTAAAAGGCAAATGCAATAAATATATAATTTATTTATAATAATTATATAAATGTGATAAACATACATATTTGGAAACATATAAATGTACATATTATAGATATAAAAGAAAATAATAAACTTACAAAAAAAATTACAAAGTTATATTTGAACCTAATAATATAATTTGAAACCTTTATTTAGTGGATTTTGTACTTGATTTAAAGATCCATTTGATTCATTCACAAGTTAAGTTGAGAATAAAGTATTTACATGTCCAGTGTTGCAATTATTTTATTAAAGCCATTAAGCTAATGAGTGGTAGACTTTAGATATAATGTGGATTAAAAAATAAAAGATAAATATATTATTTATTTTATGCGGGGCTAGGGATGGGGCCGTTTTGACTTCTTTATTTATCAACATTTTTTTAATTTAATTTGGGGTGATATTTTTGAAGTGAAAATTTCTTTAGAATCGTTGTGATTTCAAACCGGATGCAACGGAAAAAACGACAGGTAAGAGACACAAATACAAAAGAATGAGACAGAAATATACATACTATTTAATACAGCGCCATCTGTGAGATTTTTTTAATACTAACTTGTGTATGAAAGCTCTTGTAGTGAATTTTAATTTAGGATTATACGTGAAATTAAAATATCAATTCACAGAGAGCGCTACCTTACAATTATTTACTAATGACAAAATTTTAAGACGTTTAGGATAATTGTATTTTAATTTTGGAAGGTTTCACTTCTACCACGTGTGAATTGCACACATGTATTTTTTTTTCGTTATCTTTTTAAAAATCAAATCTACTACTGACTGTGAACTATGATGATACATAGCGTGAATGGATAGACATATGTTTACTTTGCAGTGTTGTCATTTTCAAAATTTAATTATGTGAATATATATTCTATTTTAGACAAATAACACTATATCTAAATAAAACCTTACTATTTTAAGTTTTACAGTATATGTAGAATATCATTAAATTTGAAAGAAAGACACATTGTTGAGGTCTTGTGCGTATATCTTTGCCAAAAATTATTTTTTCGTCAAACTGAGGATGTTCACACTTTAATATATTTTTCCTCATTAACTGTGTGTACTACCTATTTATATCATTATTATAATAGATTAACCATATTTTCACTGACCATAGCTACTTTTGAAACTGAAAGATGACTGAATGATAAACACAAGAATATTGATTTTCTTTATAAACTAGGTAAGAGCGTTACGGAAGAGAGGTTCATATGAGTGTGGGCGCGTGGTGGCGCGGACTCACGGTGGGGTTCTTGTCGTCGGGCAGGATCATCTGGTTGGGGGGCCGCAGCGAGAGCTTGGTGAGTATCCCGCCGAGCCAGCCGCCGCCCTTCTTCCCGTCGCTCTTGGTTGGGTCGTCTTTTTGTTTTTCTTCTTGTTTTTTCGCTTTCGTTACCGGCGTGTCCGTGTCCCGCTCGGTCGCCTGTTAATATTAAAGCCACTGATTTATTTTTTATTGCATAGATGGGTGGACGAGCTCACAGCCCACCTGGTGTTAAGTGGTTACTGGAGCCCATAGACATCTACGACGTAAATGCGCCACCCACCTTGAGATATAAATTCTAAGGTCTCAGTATAGTTACAACGGCTGCCCCGCCTTTCGAACCGAAACGTATTACTGCTTCAGAGCATTCGTCCGTCAAACTTCACATTATTTAATAAGCTTTGAATAAAAATTATGTGAGTATGTATAATATTTAGTTGTTCGGGGCTCATTGAACTTTACAGATATAATTCATTAATATAAAATTAAAAATAAAAACACACAAAATAGTTTGTGCTACTAATGTTTCGGTGCGATTGAGTAGTACAGTTGAGCGCACTGACCTCGGCGGCGGGCTGGTTGTCCTCCTCGTAGGAGTAGGCGGCTCCCGGCATCCTGATGCGGGGCCGCTCGTCTCCCGCCTGCCGCACACACGCACATCGCTCACACACCGACGCCGCGTCACGTAGGCACGCACACACACGTGAGTGTGTGCTATGTCTCCCTACCCTCCTACCCTACTCTATTAGCCTAACAAACTACCTCAATTTAAATGTATAGTTTCAAATATGCTTTACGTAAAACACGAAGACAGGGGTCCCCGTATGTATCTATCCGGTAAGATTTCTACTGTAGTCCGACAGGGCCTAGCAAGCGTTACTCAATCTGATGTTAATTTGTTATAATGTTAAATCGTACAATAGATACAATTTGATAACTGTTAATCGCATACTAAAAAAATATTTAAAAGTTAATTATTAGTGAATACAGAAAGTACTTAGTAACATGTAGTTATATAAAATTTTAAGCTTTATGGACTCTGAGTATAAATTGGATACTCCTACGGGGTCAAAACCGAAAATAAGAGAAAGTCGGAGGTGCGCGGGTAAATTATAGAAGTAATAATGTGTGTGTGTGTGCGTGTTGCGGCGCCGGTGTGTCGGCGGGTACATAACAAAACCCATAGATCATACACGTAAATACGAAAACTTCATCTTTTTGACAACTGTCACAGGTGGTGACGTCACAGGCGACGGAGATATTGTTTACTTTAAACCTCGATCATATTCAAATGTAAAATTAAATATTTTTTACTGGAAATAAAAAGGTGAGATAATGGTCGTTTAATGATCAGGATTTATGTTCAAGTTAACTATTGTAAGGCCGGTCGCCGAAACAAGCAGCAGATCTTTGGTGACCTTTGGGACAATACCTTCGGTGTTAGTACGACCGACGGTAACCACTCGCCATCGAATATACTGTAGTCGGTTTTACATTTCAAGATGTCCACACAGAGCTTAAGCTGTTTCAGTTATATTTATTTATGTGACGGGCTTATAACAGTTATTCAGTGAATAAACATCAGGCACAACGCGAGCACACGAGCACAAGCGCCCGCAGACACTGTACCTAGCGCAGCGGACACCCCGCGCGGTGCAAGTGACACAATCATACGGTTGCACGGGGGGCACGAGGGGGACGGACGCGGGGGCGGGCGCGGGACCTACATCACAAAAGCGACTGACGAAATTTACATTTGGGATTTTTTACTGTAATTTCATCATTAGGACATACAGTGGGATTCCATATTTTGTGATTGAGAACACGAATCTGTATCTAAATATTTAATAATAATAAAACATGTGGGCGATAACGCGCGGTGTAAATAAACACTAAACAGAGTAAGCTGCAAATTAAAGACATTAATAATATATTTGAAAATAAATTTCGTAATGATACAAAATAAATCAGATCCAACATTTATCACAGAGCATCGATAAGTAAAGCGAGGGTGCGTTTATAGGCGGAGGCGGGGGCGGGGGCGGGGGCGGTCAGTCGAACGACACGGGCTCGTCGATGTCGAAGGTCCTCGGTTCCGCCACGACGTAGCGCGCCACCAGGTCGGCGCCGGGCGGCCCGCGCCGCGACTGGATCTCCTCGAAGCGGTCCAGGCTGCGCTCGATGGTGGCTCGCAGGGCGCGCCGGTCTGCCGGCCCGGTCGGCTCGTCGATGGGATATGTGCCGCCGAACACGAGCGGCTTCAGTCGGCCACTCGACCGGCGGGGGGCCCGCGCGGCCGCGAGGGGGCCGGGCGGGGGGCGCGGCGCCGGGCGGGGAGCGGAGCGGGGCGCGGGGTGGTGGCGGCGCCGCAGCCCCGACTGGTGCACCCACACAATGCGCGTTAGTACTGGAGCGACTGGGGGACGGGCGGCAGCGGAGCCTTCTCCCGTCCCCCGCCCCGCTCCCGCCCGTCACCCGGACCTCACCCTATCCTCTACGTCGGGTACGCGGGTGGCCAACGACTATATCGTTTTGACTATGAAGTCATACAAGATCTAACAAGTGATGAACTGCTATGACGTAGTTGAAATGACACGCGTACTTACATCGCCGTATCCATATCCGGCGGCGTCACCCTGCCAGTAGGGGTCGGCGTATGTCTGGGCGTGGTGCTCCTCGGTGCGGTGCCAGTCCTCGCCGTACGCCGCGTAGGCGGGAGGGTCCGAGTCGTGGGGCTCGGCGTGGGGCAGCAGGTGAGGGGGCTGCAGGGGCGGGGGCGGGGGCTGCGTGTAGTACTGCGCGGAGTAGTCGGGAGTCTCCTCGACGGGCTCGGGGTAGCCGGGCATGTGCGGCTGCTGGTACTGATGAGCCTGTAACGGTACTCACTTGGAAATCTGAATATTTCACAATAATGTTAATGTTGCCAGCGAGCGACAACTAAGCCCCCTGAACCCCACCGTACCTGGTCCGGCCAGGGCGGCGGCGGGCCGGGCGGCGCGGCGTGCTGCGGCGTGTCGGGCTGCGTCAGCGGCTCGGGCTGCACACACGGACGCGCACACTTATGAACACGATCAATCAATATAATACACAACTATTAAAAACCCAAACTTCAAGCCAGATGAATTAGAGAAGGGTTTAATAGATCAGTCTTCTCTTTTCAGTACTCTTATTGAAAATTTTGAGAAACAGTAATGTTTCTAATGTATACCTAGTCTTGCCACAAAAACTGAGACAAAGGAAAAAAAATATTCTATTGCAAATAACATTTATTACTTTTACAGTGTGTTAGTTTAATACATAAATATAAAACAATTTGAAGTATAAAAAGCTTATTCGAAGTGGTCTCCATTGGCTGCAATACAGTCCTTTAAACGTTGAGGTCAGTTATCAATAGAAGCACGCACTCTTTCCATGGGAAAAAATTTCACTGCCAATCATACGGATTGTTTTAGGGACTCCAAATTATCATGGCGTTTAGAGCAAGCCGTACTCTCTAAAACTGACCATAAATCATAATCCAGCGGATTAAGATCGGGACTAGACGACGGCCAGTCTTCAGCTCTGATAAAGTCCGAAACGTTCGTTTCCAACCAAGACTGCGTAGATCGAGCTTTATGACCTGGCTCCGAGTCTTGCTGGAAGGACCATTCTTAATTATTGAACATGGTGTTGTTAAGGGGCTTCACTACCTTCTCAAGAATGGTATCTTGATACACTTGTGCCGATGTTTTGATACCTTTTTCACAAAAGTATGTCTCAGTCACTCCTTCATAGCTAATACCCCACCAAACCATCACTGAAGTCGGATAGTGCCCACGTTGCACTCTGTCGACTAATTGGGAAGTTTTCTTAGAGCTTTGAGCATAAATACGGTTATTGTTTGTTAAGATGTTACTCAATTGTAAAAAATTTCTCATCCGTAAACAAAATTTTTCTATGACCTAGTTGTTTCGATTTTACCACCCTATTCTCTTTTAAATTATCAGTTAAGAAATGACCAGTACGTCTCTTATAGGTTGTAAGTTCTAAGTCATCTTTTAAAATACGCGACATGGTTCTAGGTGGTATCTTCATCTCCCGAGATAAAATCTTTTGCTCTTGGACAGGATTTCTTCGAATTGTTTCCCTTACTGCTTTGACCACCTTTTTCGTACGAACACTACGTGTACGGCCAGATCTTTTTCTGTCACAAACAGCGAAGGTCTCATTGCACCTATTAATAGTCCGGTACACAAACATTTTACTAATACCAAGCGTATGGAGAGTTTTAAAAATTGCATTTGGCTCCATACCTACTTTGTGTAATGCAATCACAGCGATTCGGTTCTCTTTATCACCCCACTCCATTTTAATATCGCAAAATATTGTACAATGTATTGGCGCCAAAATTAGAAACACTCAATGAGCAATCATATAAAAATGACAGATTCCAAATTCAAATGTATTATTTTGTTTATTTTTACTTGTAACAGTATTTATGGCCAGACTAAGTATGCTGTAGGTATGCTTACACAAATACACTTGAGGACAAACTTACAGGAACGCAAAAAGATTATTTATCATGTTTTAATCATCGGTTCTGACTGACCATAGACATCATCACGATAAAAGGTAAACCACGTCCTTACGGATCCATCAGATCCAATAACTCTTGCATTAGATACCTTCAGCTCTAACACTAGGAGCAGGCTAAGGAACCCCGGTAACCGTACTCGTCGAACTCGACAAAGAGGTCGACGTGCAACCTAACCCATGCATCAGCCCGCTGAGTTTCTCGCCGGATCTTCTCAGTGGGTCGCAATTCCGATCCGGTAGTAGATTCATTCGCGAAGCAATTGCTCTTGAGTTGTTATGTCTCCTTCGGAGGCGCTCGGGCAGTTGTTAGCAAATCCCACCCCTCCTGGCTGAGCCTTTGCTCGCCCACCTGTCCTGGTGACGCTGGAAAGGCCTCCGGGCCACCAGTAATCTTTCAATCACAAAAAAAAAAAAAAAAAGGTATATTTTTCGATATTTTTTTTGAAGTGAAACTTCTTTAGGAGCTTTGAGAGTAAAATTTAACTTGCGACAGGTTCGTTAGCTAGCTAGTGAGAAAATAGACAGAGCGTCTCGATTTAAGGATGAAAATTAAAGAAAATCACAATACTACACATCGCTAAAGAAGTTTCGCTTCTTTCACGTGCACCAAGTTTGCACGCGCACCATTTTTTTAATTACTAGCCGCGCCCGACGGTCTCGCCTGCAGTTTGTAGCAATGTTACATTTTCGTTAGACTTGAGTTGAGTTTTATATTTTCTTATTATCATTTATCATTGAATCGTTTCTGTTCTCGACTTTGTAGTTTTAATTTACAGAACATTAAGCGATACCGAACTTGTCACAAACAGCAGTGACATTTCATTGCCTAAACATTTTGTTGCGTTAAACTAAACGAGTCCTCGCGTATACTGCTGGCATAGCCTGTACATAACATGATTACCTCAGTCATATTGGCGATGTTCTTGACGTCCTCGATCCACTGCTGGTGGCGGGGGGACGGCTCCCCGCTGTCCCCCTCGTCCAGGGGGGCGTCGTCTTGCAGAGCGGGGTCGTGGTACTTCAACCTAGATCATTTATTGAGATTTATTCATTTTGTTGACTTTGAATTCTAGGGGGTCAAGGGGTATTGCGACAGTGCGACACGTACCTGTCTGCGAGGAGGGCGAGCGCCCGAGCCAGGCGGGGGGCGGGGGCGGTGACGCGGGGGGGCAG